GGGGGGGGGGGGCGGCGGGCGCTGACGTGACTCCCCCGCAGACCAGCTCCTGGACGTGCGCACCGCCTTCGTGGAGCGCGCCAGCAAGGTGCTGATCTCCGGGCTGCTGGACGACCTGCTGGCCCAGCGGGTGCTGAACCTGGAGGAGGTGGACGAGGTGCAGGACAGGCACTCGGTGCGCGCCGACAAGGCCCGCTGCCTCATCGACAGCGTGCGCCTGAAGGGCCGCAGGGCCAGCCAGGCCTTCCTCACCAGCCTCAGGAAACGTGACGGCGCCTTGGCAGAGCAGCTGTGGCTGGCCGACAGCGCGGGTGAGACACGTGGGCTGGGCTCTGGGGCTCCCGGTGCCTCCCGTGGGATGCTGGAGGTCCGGCTCGGCCGCCCTGGCAGGTGTCCAAGGCCTGAAGGCAAGGCGCAGTTGGGTGTCCCCAGTGTCGCTGCCTTGTGGTACCGAGGCCCTCTTGTCGTGCAGAGACAACAGGGCTCTTGGGTGGCTGTACCCCGTGGGGCTGAACAGGGACCCCCCAGCTCCGCTGGCCTGTCCGTTCCGTGTGACAGTCCCCTCTGGCTGCAGGCATTTCCCAGTGTAACCAGGATGGGGCTTTCTGCTTGCAGGGCTGCCAAGCGTGCCACTGGCCTCCTCCAGCACTGAGGCCCCCTCCAGGCCCGCTGGCAGCACCCAGGGCGAGCAGTGGATCCGGCAGTGTTCCCCGGGCGAGTACCAGCGTGTCAGGGACACCGAGGGAGACCAGGTGCTGCGGGCAGAGCTGGAGCATGGCTCAGCTGCCCTGCCAGAGTGGGCAGGGGCTTGCCCAGGGCACCCAGGGTCCTTGCTGACCCTGGAGCAGGGTGGGAGATGTGGGGAGACACCCCTGGGACGGGGTTGCTGCACCCATGGGCCTTCTCTGCTATCAGCTGCCTCCTTTTCCCCTGTGCCCACCCACGGCTGAGCATGGCCTCCTTCCATCCCCACAGATCTACCCCATCCACCTGCCACGGGAGGCGCGAACCCGCCGGGCCCTGCTCATCTGCAACATTGAGTTCGAGCACTTGAGCCGGCGGGACGGGGCTGAACTGGACGTGGAGGGGATGACAAAGCTGCTGGAAGGGCTGGGCTACGCTGTGGACGTCCACAGAAACTTAACTTCCCAGGTAAAGACTCCACAAAGTGGCCCCCAGCCCCGGGAGCAGCATGGGGACCTTCCTTGAGTGCGTTGGTGACGGGGTGCTCAGCACCACAGGGACATCTCTGTCCCTGGTGGCAGTGGCTCCTGCCCACAGCTGGTCTCTGGGTCTCCACATGGCTGGTCACAGGGTGTGATATTCCTTCCCTGTGTGCATTCGTAGGAGATGGCTACAGTCATGAAGGATTTTGCAGATCTCAAGGAGCACTGGACCTCTGACAGCACCTTCCTGGTGTTCATGTCCCACGGGGTCAGGGCTGGGCTCTGTGGGACCAAGAGCAGAGATGAGACCACGGACATCCTTTACCTTGACACCATCTATGAGAAATTCAACAACCAGCACTGCCGGGCACTGCTGGGCAAACCCAAGGTGGTCATTTTCCAGTCCTGCCGTGGAGGTGAGTCCCCACCAGGTCCCTGCTGGGGGAGCGAGCCAGCCAGGCTCTCCCAGGGACACCCTGTCACCTGGACCTGCCTTCCTAGTCAGAGCAGGGTCCGTGATGGTGAGTGACACCACAGCCCAGGCCCTGCCTGCTCCCAGCTCGGCTCACACGGGGCTGGAAAATGATGCCATCTTTGAAGTTCACCTGGAGAGTGATTTTGCCACTTTACATTCCTCCACGCCTGGTAAGCAGTTCCTAGAGGTTGTTGCCCTGCCTGAGGCCTCCTCCTCCTCTTCCTCTTCCTCAGGGAGGGTCACCTCCATCTGGTAACCACCTGGGCATTGCTCAACAACCCTGGAGAAGATGGTGTCTCCCAGTGCCAGGGTACAAGGCTGCTCCTGGATACCCACAGATCCCTCCTAGTGGCACCAGGGCCTGAGTTTTGTGCCCCTGCCTGGCTGCCTCCCCTGGCCCCAGCCCTCCCCTCTGGCACTGTCTGCACTCCTTCCCCAGCAGATTTATCTCACTGCAGCTCTTGGCTGGGGAAAACTGTCTTCTGCTACTGGGTCACAGACGGCCCCAGCCCGTGCCAGCCTGGCAGCTGGCATGGCAAAGAGAGGCTTGGAGAAAATATTCACATCACTTCTGTCTTCCCTGGGATGCCCCGTCCTTCTCCCATGCTGTGGGTTGGATAGGCCAAATATAAATGTCAGAGAGGGTGCCCCAACCTTCTGCTCCAGCAGCCAGTGTTAATCACTTGCAGTGAGGGAGGCCAGTGAAATCTCACTTGGCATCTTCTCTCTGCCCAGATACTCTCTCCTGGAGGAGCCCCATAACTGGCTCCCTCTTCATCCAGTGCCTCATAGAGCAGTTTCGAAGCCACGCCTGCGACAGCGACATACAGGAGCTCTTCCGGAAGGTGAGGCTCAGGGCTGGCTGCAGCTGTGCCCATGCCAGGGGTACTGCTCAGAGCAGAGCTCGCACCAGGGCAGCCCACCTCTTGGCAGGTCCCTCGGGAGCAGGCTCTGTCCAGAAGGGGCCTGGTTTGGCCTGCAAAGTCGGCTGGAGGCATCGGCACCACGCCCCGTGGTGGGCACGCGTGAGCCTGGCACAGCCTGTGGCATCCCTTGTGTCACCAGACACATGCCTGGGGATGTCCCTGGGGACACCTCCCGACTCCCTGCCCCCTTCCCCTGCTGGGGTCAGAGCTGCTGACATTGCCCCTTGCTGTCTCTCTCGCCCCAGGTCCAATACTCCTTTGGAAAATTCCCCCGGCAGATGCCAGCGCAGGAACGGACCACGATGCTCCGCAAGTTCTACCTGTTCCCAGGCCACTGACCTCCTGCCCACGGTGTGTCCCTTCACCTGCAGCAGCCTTTCTGTGCCCCAAACCCAGTCCCCAGCCAGTGGGGAGGAGGGGGGAGATATTCCCTATTGTTCCTGGGCTCCAGACCTTGCAGCTGAGCTGGGATATCCACAGGACTTGTGTGCTGGAATGGCCTGACTGCCTCCCCAGCTCCCAGCTGGCCAGAGGAGAGACAGGCACTCAAGGAACTCCTTCCAATAGCCCGTGTCTCAGGAGCTTCCCCATCTGATATTGTTCACAGGTGAAAAAGTTACACACAGGCAGCAGAAGTGTTTGAATCTGGGGATAACACAGCAGAAAGCTTGAGGCAAACACAGCCCTGCTCCAGCAAAATGCACTTCTTCAGAAAGGGCCAAGAGGAAAAGCTCTGCAGAAACAGTGAGTCTCCAAACCAGCTACTTGGGCCCTCTGCTAGGCAATTACAGACCTGGAATAAAACATCCTTGGTCTCCTGGCCTCCCTTCCTTCTGCGACCTCCAAACAACCCCAAGCTGAGCAAAGCCTTCCCAGGCAGCAGCAGACACCTGACTCTGGAGCACCAAATGCAAAGCTGTTTGGTGTCTCTCTGAACTGTCCCCAGAGCCTGTCCCCAGTTGTGACAGACTTTGTGTCACCCTCAGAGGTGCTTCTGCCATCCCTGGCTTTACCCAGATCAAGGGATCTGATCCCTCTGCCTGCAGCACACGGTGGGTGGGCGAGTGGGTGGCCCAGCCAGAGCAGCTGCTCTGGTGTTGGCTTCCTGGGGCAAGCTGCATGGGAAGGAGGTGAGAAAGGGAGGAGACAAATCAGAGGGAGCTCAGGGAGGAGGGGACACCCAACCCATTTCCCAGAGGATTTCCATGCCCAGCCCTCACAGGCTCGCAGCATCTCGTGCTCAGGAGGCAGCTGCTCCCACTGCCCCAAGGTGGAGAAGGACACAATCCCTCCTGGGAGCCACAGAAGGTGCTCAGACCCATCTGACACACACTGCTCCCACAGCCCCATGCCTGGCCCCGTTGCCATCTCTAGCATGAGCCCCTTCCTGTGCCCAGCTCTGCTCTCCCTGTCCTCCACAGCCACATCCAAACCTTCCTCCACCTCAGCATGGATTCAGCTTTATTGCACATTCTGCAGTCACAGCCAGATCCACAGCCAGGTGGTCTGCTGGCAGGAAAACAAAAAGGCTCCACTGCCCCCTCCCCGTGTCCGAGCCGCCCCGGCGCAGGCGGGGTGGTGCCCAGGGCCACCCCGAGTCCCTGCGAGGGGCAGGAGAGCTCAGCAGGATGAGGGCTGGCCCCAGTTCCTCAGAGAGCCCCACGTCGCTCCCCGAGCTCCTTGGGTCCCAGGTGGTGCTGCAGAAAGGCTGGGCCCCAGCACTACGGCGGTGGCAGGAATTTGAGGACAGCAGTGATGAATTCTTCAAACTTATCCTGGTGGACTATGTGGCCAGCACCCTCGATGTACTGGACATCTGCCTTGGGGAAGAGGCGCTGGATCTCCGGGTAGTCTTTGGAGCTGCAGGACAAGGGAACACACCATGGGAAGCCTGGTCAGAGGTCCACCCAGGTGCCTTCCCTCACCATACCCAGGCAGAGCAGGATCCCAGCTCTGTGTCCCCTTTCCTGCTGGGAAAACCCAGGGATGCCCCAGGGTCCCTCTCACAGCAGCATTGGGGTCCCTGGCTGCTGGAGGCACAGAGCTCTCTCCAGGACCTTCCCCATCTTGGGGGCTTCCTCCCACCCTCAGCGGTCACAGAAGGGCACAAGGGGTCAAACGACAAATTCCAAAACACTTCCCTCCAGTCCCACCTGATATAGGGTGACTTGGATCCTCCCAAGAAGAGTGCAGGGCCAAGATAAGGCTTGTGGAAAACGGGGAAGTTCATGATATCTGCTAAGTGGTGGGAAATAGCCTCCAGATTTACCCGCCAGACGTAGCGGCCCTCCACCTCCACCAGGTTGGTGAGGAGGAACTGCCTCAGCTGTGGGAGCTGCCACGAAAGGGGAGCGTACACTCTTCAGTACCACAACAAGCCCCCAGGATGTCCCAGCGTCCTCCATCCTCCCGTCCACCCCCTTCTGCACTCCTGGAGAGATGTCCTCCAGCTGCCCGTGACAGCAGCAAGAGAGCGTGGGTGGAAAGCCTGGTGGCCCTAAAGCCCTGTGGGACAGGCTGGGAGTGGGAGCCCTGTCTGAGGAGCAGGATTTCCTACCTGGACCACTGGCTGCAGCTGCTCGTCGGCCAGCTGGCGGGCGGCAGAGCGGGACAGGCCGGCTGGGATCCTCACCGACTGCATGGCAGAGATGTAGGCAGAGAACTCGGAGACAGGGGCGGTTGGGACAGGGCTAATGTCCACGGAGATGAGGCGCTCCACCAGGTCTGGCTGGGGACACAAGCAGGGCAGATAGACACCAGCCCAGATCTCCCCGTGGGACCAGGCACAGGGCTCCGTTCCCACCCAGGCTCTCTGGAGGTTTTTAGACCCCTCCTGCCCCCCCGAGCCTTGGCATGGGAGATCTCCAAGCTCCCTCACAATCAGTGCCAGCAGGGCAGGGCAGAGCGTGGGCTGGGGGACAGGAACCTGCTCCTGCAGCCTGGC